CATCCCACCCAGCAGCCCAGTCGGCCCAGATAAGCAGCACCCGGCCTGCGACCGCTTGCCACTGGATGCCGCATCTCTGGGTCTCGCGCCCGCTGCTTATATCCAAGATCCCGTCACTTCCCGCGACTCTTGCTCCCCATTCTCGCTCATCTTGTCTTTGAACCAAACATACAAACCTCCGTTTACTAATCCGCAATGCGACTCACAGACAAGGCGCTGAAGCCTTCTACAGCACGGCGATCCTCGACATCCACCCCTCGAGAGATACCAACCCCTACCTCTCCGACCGCCGGCCAGCCTCCCGTCAACGGCAACGGAAACACCAATGGCACGACGACAGACGCCACAAAAGGTTCAACAGAAGGCGCGAAGCCTATTCCTGTGGGACGTCCTCCGATAGGCAGAAGCCCGTCGAACGAGAAGTCGGGTCCCAACGGCACTCCGCCCACCCGCCGCAACTCGTGGTTTTCCAACATTTCTTCCAAGTTTTCCTCTTCTCCGAACAACAATAACGCGCAAGCGAACCAACAGCCCCAGAACACTCCCCCAAAGGACTCCGGTCCGGTGCCTCCGAAGGTGACTCCTGCGAAGAATGCAGTGCTCCCGCACGCTGCTAAGTACGATGGGGACCAGCCATACACACCAGCGCCTCCCGGCCGCGGCCAGGCTGGCTTCCTCGGAGTCTTTCGCCGATTGTCTTCCTCGGGCGGTGTTTTGGGACCAGGCGCGAAGGGCACCCATGGTTTGGTCGAGCGAAAGGTACTGAATGTTGACCGCAATCGCGAGCGCTGTCAGATTTCGGACTTGCACCAGGCGAAACTTCGAAGGGTCGCATTCAGCGTCGATGTTGAAATCGCGCCAATGCCAAAGTATGTCGATACGGATACGCCAGCGAAGAAGCCCCTTGAGAAGTCGAAGACCCGGAAAGTGACAGAAAAGGGTGAGGGTGAGGCGCTCAAGAACCCAAAGTCGCTCGAGGAACAAAAGGAGCGCGACGGAGTCATCCACGAAACAGGCGAGCCCGTACCCAAGGAACCAGAAAGGGAAGGAACCGACCCGGCCCAGGAAAAGAAGGACGGCGAAGTTACCACTGCAAATCCACCCATGGAAAACAAGGAGAAGGACACCAAGAAAAAGGAGAAGAAAAAGAAGAGCGAAGAGGAGAGGAAAGCTAGGAAAGAGAAAAAGAGGAAACAAGCCGAGGCCAATGGCACGATCCCAATGGAGATTCATGTCGACGACAGTGACTCTTCAAGCGAAGGCACGCCAGCTGCAACACCAAAGACAACAGCATCTCCCACGACAAACCCGGTTAGGATATACCGGCGCTGTTGCCAGTTGAGAGAAACGCCCATCCTTAAGAAGATCACCGAGCAGCTGAGCAGCCCTTCGAATTGCTCATCCGACATTGGCATGGTGCAAAAGCTGGATCTCACAGGCTACTGGCTCCAGCTGCCAGACCTCGTTACTTTGGGAGACTACCTAGCTGTCGTCCCGGTCAAGGAGCTCATTTTGGAGAACTGTGGCCTCTCAGACGAGGGATTGAGAGTCATCCTTGCTGGCCTGCTGGCTACAAAGAAGCCCGAATCTAGGCGGCGGAAGCACACCCAACCTGATGGCCTCACAATCCAGGGAGGATTCGTCGAACGCCTTGTTCTCAAGAACAATAAGATCGGACCCGAAGGCTGGAAGCACATTTGCCTCTTCATCTACCTCTGCCGAACACTCAAATTTCTCGATGTATCCACCATCCCCTTTCCACGACCCCCCGCGTCAGCTCAAAACGGAAATAGTCACAGTCATCACTTGCTGCGGCATTCCAATGATGAGCGACCCCAGAATATCGCAGCAACACTCTTCTCCAAGGCCGTTGGGGAAAGATTGGCTGGGGCCACACTCGAGCTCGTCAATTTAGGAGAGACCAACCTGAATCCGGATGACCTTGGAGTGATAATCGATGGTATCAACCAGTGTGGCGTCAAACGTCTGGGCCTTGCTCACAACAATATTGATGATAAGGGCCTGCAACACGTTGCCAGGTACCTCTCCCAGAGCTTTTGCGAGGGCCTGGATCTTGGCGGCAACGATCTCCGAGATCACATGGATGTGATTGCGAACGCGATCTCAGAAAAGGATTCTTTGTGGGCACTCAGTCTGGCTGAATGTAACCTGAAGCCCGGTTCACTTTGCAAAATCTTCCCCGCGCTTGCGCAGCTCAAGGACTTTCGCTTTATCGACCTTTCTCATAACCGGGATCTATGCAAATCGGATCCCAGTGCTATTGGTCTTTTGCGCAAGTAAGTTGTTTCTACCCAATCATGGTCGATAATTACTAATAATCTCCAGATACATACCGAAGCTCAATGGCTTGCGTCGCATTCACCTTGCTGATGTTGCCATGACTTCTGAGCAGGCAATCGCTCTCACAGAGATCCTTCCCGAGGCGAAGCTACTAGCACACATCAGCTTCCTTGAGAATCCAGAGTTGGTCAAGCTTACGGATGCCAAGACCGAGGAGACTCAGGAAGAAGCCTGTGCCTTGTATGCATCCTTTTTGGCTGCCACACGAGTCTCCAAGTCGATCGTGTGCGTCGACATTGATCCTCCTAGCGACAACTCTGGCGAGATTGTCAAGGCTTTGGCCAAGCAGGTTGTGGCATATTGCTTGCGGAACATGGACCGCTTCCCCATGGGAGACATCAGCAATGTTATATCCACCGTTCTGGCCGAGACTCAAGGGCCTCAACCTGGTGGCCCAATTCCTCCTTACCCCGATGTGCTTGCACATTTGGTCGGCCACGACGTGCTTAGAGACGATTCCTCAGACAACGAGTCGGCCCCTGACGATGACTACGTCATCGGTGGAACGGGAGTTGTCAAGGCACTTACGTGCTGTCTGAAGAACAGAGGAGATGAGTCGAGAAGACAGTCTGGCGAGTTCATCCGAGACTTTGAAGATGGCGTGCCAGTGCCGGCAAGCCCTCGACCGAAGCTTCCTCCTGGGAAGGCCAAAGACATGTCGAAACATCTCCTTGCAAGCGCTCGCAAGATTCGCCAGCGATTGCAGCCTGCCTTGTCAAAGGCTAGGGTCAACCCTGAAGAAGATGAACACAACTTGCGCAAGTTGATGTTCCTCGACACCACTCTGGCTAATATTATCAAGCGATTCGAGGATGAGTTCCCCGACACTCGAGTGTCGACGGACGAAGCCTCGGAAAGCACAATGCCCAGCCAAAGCGATCGGCTGGGCACATCATTGTCCTCTACCGAAGACCCTGACCAAGGAACCATTCCTTCAGATCCCGAAGACGAGACTGGCTTGCAAGTCCGACCTGGTCTGCCGCGCACGAACTCTACGTTGTCGCACACGTCCAAGGCGCTCATTGAGGAAGAAGGCAGAATTCATAGAACTGGTCACAAGATTCGCTCCGGCATCATCAAGCCTGAATACTATGGCTTGCTTAGCGGCGTACTTGAGGTCGGCCTCGATCCCAAGCATACCGCCATGCTTCACCAGATGATCGAAGAGATTGATGACGCGGATTTGACTGAGAAGGTTGAGCAGAAGGGTATCATGCGCGTTTTCCACGAGGATCGCGATCAAGTCCGTGAAGGACTGCGGGCATTGGATCCCCTGCATTGGGATCGCTTCGTCGAGAGTCAGGAGAAAGCAAGGGGGAACGTCAAGTCGAGCATATCGAATGCAGTCAAGCCGGCCGACGAGGTTGCTGTTGAGGACTGAACTTGAATCGACGTCGTCGCCCAACACTATGAGCGGTATTTCACCGCATTTTGTACGAATAATTTGCTTAACATGAATTGTTGGATGGGGGGACTTTCGAAACAGCAAGAAGCAAGCATAGGCGTACCGCGAGAAGGGAATTCATCGCACAGAACTTTTTCTTTTTTTCCCTTTTACCACTTCCCCCTTCTTCCCGCGGAAGACTTTGCGGGCACAACACGTCCATTTTTCTGATACCAATAGCTCGGGCACCAGTGGATAGATCTGCCAAGCTCCGTGACAAAAGTTGCATCCAGGCAGACGAGGGAAACAAATGACGAGGCGGGACACAGTCGCTACGGAACTCCTGTATTGTACACAAGTACCTCTCTAGCGAAATCAATGCACATTTTCGCCCTCTCGAGGGCGAGGAGGCCGCCGGGTTTTGACGCGCCGAAAGCGTTCTGATTCTGTGATATGTTGTGTATCCCTCCTACCTATATTGTCTTTCTTGCCTGCACCTCGTCGACACGGGTACTCAGGAGCCTCTCCTCGAGTTTGTGAAAAAAGGTGTTGAAGAACAACGTCACGTCCGGAGGTTTCGCAATAGACGGGCTTCTTGTCTTTGCACGAGACACAGCCACATTTTGGCGGCGAAAATCTGACTAGGCACGCTCGTTCCTGCGTTCACTCTCTCGATACACATCAGATGTGTAGGGTTGGTACTCAAAGGATGTAGAAATCACATTCGACATTGAAGCTCCGATTGAACCTCTCATCGCCACATCCAGGGGCGGCATCTGTACGTGTTTGTCCTTCCCGTCCTTCCTTGATCGTTTCCCGTTTCCAAAACCAAAACACTAGGGTATAAGCTACTACAATCATTCAACCCATCCCGAATCCGTACGCAACAAACATCTTCTTTTTCCCATCTCTATTTCCGACCTCACCGCTCCCTCTGTTGAGTGGTTGTCGCCGTGCCGTCGCGTTCATGCGTGAAACCCCATCCCCAATTAACACCATTAAAATGCATGCTTACTTTTTCCCACCCCAAATGACCGACTCGCCACTCCGTATTTTTGATTCGCGATGCAGAAAGAGACGTGGTCCGGTCATCCTACTAGATGACTCCACTGAAACCGAAGAAATATGTACAACAGAATAGAAAAAACAATAGACAATGATGTATGATGAATGATGCCGGCCTCCCCAAAAAGGGGGAAGGAAAATAGAACAAAAGCAAGTGAGAAATGAATCATAAACAAGTGTGTGTGTCTTGTTAAGCATAGCTCCTGACAGGATTGAGAACGGTGACGGGCAAACTCGAAAACGTGGCGTGCCCGACGTTCGTTCCCTCTCCCTCAGCGACGACGCCCCAGGCAACCTCGCGGAAGGCGGCGCCAACGTCACCCGGGGAGCGGTGGCACCTGGCGCTGATGACGGCGGAGCAGCTCCCTCCCTTGAGGACGAGCGGGTTGCCGGACGGCTCGCCGTCGACGCGCGTGGGCGTGGGATCCGCGCGGCGGAGGCCGAGACCGAGGACGAAGCCCGCGATGATGACGAGGAGCGCGAGGAGGGCCAGGAGCCCGACGCCGCTGAAGCCGACGCCGTTGATGGGGGCAGGGAAGTCTGCGTCCTTGGCGGCGGGAAGGGAGTCGACGGAGATCATCACGACGGATTGGCTGAGCACGAAGCCTGCGGCGGCGAAGAGGACGAGGAGGAGCCAGGAGAAGGGGCGTGGGAGGGTGAGGTAGAGGCTCGTTGTTTGCGCGCCGAGGGGTCGGCCGGAGCTGACGCGGAGGGGGAGGGTCAGGCCGGGGAGAGCGTATTGGCTCAGCTCGTGCGAGAGGAAGTAGGAGGACAGGAGGATGTTGGTGGTAAGATAGAGGACGGCAAGGAGGAGGTGGGGGAGAGCGGCGACTAGGGCGAAGCCTGCGCGGGCCGCTCCGTTGGGTAAGATGTACAACTGATGGTCCGGGGCGTGGCCGAAGGCGCTGAGACTGGCTGATGTATCTTTGCTCAATGGAATCGCCAGCGCCGCGGCGGCAAGGCCTGTAGGCGCGGCCCAGGTGAGGAACCAGACAGCCCAGAGGGAGAGGCTGGGGGTCTGGAACCAGAAATGTTCCTTGGAAGTCCAGTACTTGGCTTCGTTGTAGCCCCAGCGGCCTTGGGTGACGTCCTTCTTGTCGAGGAGGCAGGACGCTTTGGTCGTGTGGTCTGGGTGGGTAATGAAGGATGCGAGTGCATCGCCGAGCGTCACGAGAGGCTCGAAGCCGGTGAAGAAGTACACCGCGCCAATGGCAGAAACGGAGACGAGGTTCAGGATTGCAATGACGCCAAGCAGGGAGCCGTTGAGGATTACCGAGCAAGATTCGCGTGACTCTGGTCGGGCGAGGCAGTACTCGGCGGTTGTGTCGTTGATCTTGATGGAGGAAGGGTTCGTCGGGTCAACGAACTGGGTGAGCGAGGAGCCTGATTTCGCCGTCTGGACGAGGGAGTTGCTGGTCGAGGCGGAATCCGTGACTAGCACTACGGCGCTGAAGTCACCCTGGTACACGCCTCCGAATTCGTTCAGGCAGTCGGCAATGGTGAGATTCGTCAGGTTGTTCTGGGATGCCTGGGTCTGCAGGGTGAGGATGTCGGATCTCGAGAGTCCGCCGGCGTTCGTCGCAGACGCATTGCTGAACTGGCCGGAGGAAAGGAAGCTCGGGGTAACGAAAAGGATTTGGTGGGCGAAGCCCGGCATTGTTGTAAAGATTACAGCATTATATCTAGTGACGGTCAGCACACGTAATTGAAAGTAAACCATGTTTGTGACGGACATTACTTGGGTGCTGACGGCCGCCATCATAACCATGACCGCCATGACAACCCTGGGTTTGGAAATGAAACGCAGATTCCTAAAGGAAGGAACGCCAATGTGGAGCCAACGATGCTCCTCGTGAGCCATTTCGACCTCGGTGCGTGTCGGGCTGCTAAGTACTTGAAAAACGTAGTTGGCTGTCGCGAGAAGGATGATGACGATGACGTTGATGGCCACGGAGAGTCCGATCTTGATCTCATCTGCCTTGGAGCAAGATCCTTCGTAGACTCTGCTCTCTCCCCGAATCATTCCGACAACTACCAGTGCCAGGACCAGGCAGACGATGGCGACAATGAGGATGATGAAGCCGATGACGATGTTCACCGCGATGCCGGCCCTCCACCCCGACTTCATTCTGCTGAAAGTACCCTGGCCGCCGCGCTTCCCCCCTGAAGGCATCATCCGTTCCAGATCTTCGCTCGCTGACGCTGTCGACATGCTGTGTGTTGTCGCCTCATCGTAGAATCCTTCTCCTTGGTAGCGTTCCGCCGCTTGTGCTGCCAATTCGCCCCCTTCCGTCTGTCTCTTTTTCTCCTCCCTTTTCCTTGCCATGGTCTCTGGTGTTTCTCCTCTGATGTAGTTGACGATATAGTCGGGGACGATATTTTCGAGAATTGTTGCTGTGGAATTACGCTTGCCCGGTGCCCATGTTGCCCTCCTCGGTGGCTCCCGCTCCCGCTCCACCGGAAAACTTGGCCCTAAACTCGGCCCTGGAAAGCTTCCTGTGAAGCCGGTGAACGGCCTCGATGAGGCGACGTCGGACGCGGAACTCTGATGGCGGAGAAAAGGCCATTGCACCGTTTGTCTGCTGACTGTGCTCTGCCGTTGCTCCTGTTCGGTGAGTTCTCTGATCTCTTGATGTGGGACTCTATGCTGCATGTAAGTCTACATTCAAGGTTTCAGGCCGCATCTGTCAGGAATAGACTGTACCTTTCTACTCTCTCGACTTGCCCTTCCTCGTCCCAAGTATATCTATAGGACGGCCCATGATCTCGTGGTGGAATTACAACCTCCATGACCTCGCGGAGGAGCGCAGCGCAGATAGTTGTGCGCGGCAGTTCGACATGAAGGGATTAAAAGGAAGAAAAATCGAGGGTGGATATGAATATGGGTAAAGAGGGGGGAAACTATCTGATCAGGTCGATCAGTGCGGTCGGTACAAGACGACAGAAGCAAGAGCCGAAGGAGTGAAGGCACTTGCAGCTTTCGTCTCGTCTAGAAAAGAGACAAAACAGAATAGAGTTTTAGAGTGACGTGCAGCTGACACGTTTGGTGAAGGAGACGGGAGAGGGAGAAAAAGGCACCCATGGCCGAGCGCCAGGGTTTGCGATCGTCTTGTATGTCGGAGGACTCGTCCGTCCGACCTTTTCTCATACGGCGGGCCTTGGTGCGATTGCGGGAGAGGCGGCCCTGACAAGGGCACAGCGCAGGTGGAGGGGGAGCCACCGATTATTGGACTAAAGCCCATGGCAGATCATGAACAGGGAATGGTCCTTGTCACTTGGGGGATTCGAGACTCGCAAGCTCAAGCGGACGTGCAGACAAGAGGGGCCCGAGGGCGAGGGTGGTGGTGGTGAGCCGCAGCGCCATCGAGGATGACCGCTTCAAGGCGAACGATGATGGAGGGGTGAGCAAGGGGGATTGGGAAGGGGGCTGACGACGTTCGGGACATGACGAGGAATCAAGGATGTTGGCGGCAGACGCTTGGAGACGCAAGATGAGATGGCATTCTGGTCGCGGCGAACGACTCGAACCAAAGGCTTCCTTTCCGGCCGGTTGGATTGGATGACAAGAGGGCCAGTGCCCGATCGTTGACCGTGCAGGAACATAGGGGTGGCTTAGCTTTGATGAGCTCTTGTCAGAGTTTCTAGCCTCTGAGTCGAGGGCGAGTCAAATATCAGATAACTGGGGGACGAGGAGGGACGGGCCATGGATGATGGGAGGAGGAAGGCATTGAGATCTTTGACATGTCTGTCCATGTTCTCCCATTTAGGGATTCCATCCGTATGGCCTCGAGGGCCCAACGCATAAAGAACAGAATCCGAAGATCGGTTGTTGAGAAGGAGGCTTCTGTCACCGATCATGACAATTTGGTGACGGTCCGCTTGGACGTTGCTTCTCCGGAGACGCAATCTGCCAGATGAGGGCTAGGGCAGGTTAGGCAATGAGTGAATGGTAGTCACCTAGCCGTGGCGTGGCATAGAGGACGATCCGGGAGCTACTGCAGCGCTGGCGGCTTGGTGAGCGTCGATGGGCAAGCTCGAGGCCGGCATTGTTCTTGCAGTGCTGCAGTTTCAGACGGGGGCCTAGATGAGATCACACTCGCGATTTGTGTTCCATAAAGGAATAGAACGATTCGAGTGCCGGCATGTCCTGTCCTGTCCTGGGGGAGGAGGGGTGAAAACGACATGGGACGTGGGAGTTGCAGGTGGAACGCACTCCAGTGTCGAGCAGGGGCTTAAAGAGCCTGCCCGGGTCCACCCAACTGTCCAGGGCGAATTGCAGTGGGTGGCTAGCCTGTTACAGCCAGGGCCAATGAGAGGCGGCCATGCCACTATGCATTTTCCATCTTTAGAAGTCGAGTCCAAGACGTACCTCACCAACCTTGCCTACCTCTGAGGAGTCTTACAGGAACCTGCACCTCCGGAATCCAACATGCCTCTGCAGTCCATCCAGCCTTGCATTTCCATGTCATTCACGATGATCTCTGTTGCCTAGAATCCGCCAACAAACATGCAATGCCCCCAAGCCAATCGACCACTGCTGACGAGACGACGATCAAGCACGCCGACCAACACACACACACACAAGGGAAACGGGGATGGTGTTCCTCCCCCCTCCCCCTCCCCCTTCCCTCGGATTCAAGCCTCCTGGCCCGCCCTGAAGCATGACCACACCACTCTTGGCACTGCGAAGCAACCCTCATCAACCGTTCATGCGAAGACCTAGAATCACCAGAAGCCCTGCCCTCAGCCATTCGGTCATCCCTACTGTCCATCCCTCTCGTCCCCGCCCCCTTTCAACCTCGTGGTCTTCAATCGGGGATGTGAAGGCGAGCGAGCACCACTCACACTTTCATGCACCGGCACCGCCATCCCAGGAGATCGGGGTTTGCCTGTTTCACGACCTCCGCCAGGGGTCGAAAGGCTGTAAAGATGAGGAAAAATACCCGTCGAACCATATGTTGGGCACTTATATGTGATTGCTGCTTCACCCATCCCGGCCAGAACTGTTCTGAAAGGCTTCTTTTTTCGGCCGGATGCCCACTACGCATTGAGTCGAGGGCGGGAACGGTCATTAAACTCAACATCGGGGGTTCCCTTCCACCTCCAGCAGATCCGGAGCTGGACCCGTCAAGAGCTCCAATTCAATTAAAGAGCGTCGTGAACGCCAATACCGCAACCCGCGCTTTTCGCGCCATATCGTAATCGCATAGAGTCGGGCGGCTTCCCTTCGAACCCTCAAATCTCTTCTGGTCTCCGCCGCTGCCGCCATCAATCCACAGCATCGTTGACTCGGGGGTTCTTCAGAGTGCAACTGAAAACCTAACCTTCAGGCCCCCTTTTGATGGAACGTCGGGGCAGCTCCGCCGCCGGAGGTCGGGCACTTCGTTCGGCGTTCGCCCCTCGCATCTTGGGGATTTCACCAGAGACACAGCACGCTTTTTGGTGTGGCAATATTTGGCTGTCGAGACGTCAGAAAAGCTGACGACGACTCACAGTTGCAGCAGCTCCTGAAGACGACCCTATCAACGCCGCCAAGATCCAAAATGTTTCCGCCTGCTGCCGTCGCCTAAGCCTTGGGGAACTAGCGGCCGCCTTTTGAAACGACGGAACCGCCAACGGCGCAACGCGGGTTCAGTTAAGATGAGCCCTGTCATAATAGTTGATGGCCTTCACCTTCATTCAGCTGGTGACGGGCTTGGCTTACCTGAAATTGGCTGCTCAGTGAGCTCATAGCTTCATGCCGTAGCTAGCTATTCATTATTGGGCAAATCTCCCGATCTAGATATTAAAAGGAAGTGAACTTACGAAGGCAATTAATACAGCAGCGAATCAAATGTATGCCAATAGTCCAAGAGGCACAGTATCAAGCAAAAGTCATGTTGCAATGCCGTCAGGATACCAAGCAGCGGCAGAAGACGGCAAAACAGACAAAAAATGAACAACGGGGCAAAAGAAAGCGTTCCGAAACCGAGAATCGAACTCGGGGCTATGCCTAACCTCTCAAGGTCATGAGAGGGCATCATGTTGGCCACTACACCATATCGGAGTGGGTTGAGATTACGTGGAAAATTTGCACTTATAATGTCTGTTGCAGAGTTTGGAGCCCTGGTGCGCCACACCAGCGGGGCTCCTTTCGGCAGGAGGAGCTCCTCCCCGCCAACCGCACCTCGATTCATACCTTACCTAGGGGTCAAATTTTGAATTGATGATGTCGTGAAGGAGCAGATGCTGTGAAGATAGTTTCGAGGGAAAGACCAGCTTATTGCGGCTACTTCCGTCCAGCCGAACTTGGATGACAAAGCCCCTGCTGACATTTCCAAGACTCATCTTCCTTCTAGGCAGCATGGTCAGCCAGCGGAGTTTACGATCGCGTCCCCGGCCAACAGTCATCATTTATCATCAGCCTTGGGCACACGACAGCCCTGGAACTCTCGGTACGAACCAACAATGACGAGAAATCCACACAGAGTCCACCGCAGAAGCCTTACTGCATCAGTACCCCAGACAGCCCAATCACGCGGTTAAGCCTTCCGCAAGAGCCGAAGACCGAGAGACAGGCAGGCAGGCAGATTCGGCGGCCACTTGACAATCTGTCGTAAATCTGGCATCGTTACAACCCCGCGTGCCCAGTCTCGGGGGGTTTACGAGGGAATGAGGGGACCATCGGCAGCTCCAAACGGCACCGACAGCATGCGAGCACCACGCAGACATGCGTGAAAGCAGCGAGATGGAAGGCCACCGTCATCTTGTCGAACCACCATCCGCATCATCGGTTCCCCACGGTTCGGAATGTGGAGCTCCACGGCGATTTTGTCCTCCTCTGAGCTGTGCCGAACGGTAGTCACTGGCCCCTGTCGGAGCTCATGTGCAGCAGCAACAGAGACATGTGTACAGTCGGCGCCCTCAAAGTCGTTCGGGAGTCGATGTCGTGCCAGCTTCGGATGGGGCTCCGACCCGAAGCGGAGCCTACCCAAGAGAAACTTGGCCTTGGACGAGTTGGGAATCTGAGAGAAGTTGCCTTGGTCTTGATCCCGACCCTGGCCCACGAGCCGACAAGGCCCTGAAGATCACACGTTGTGGCCGGTGGATGCACCCCAACAGCCCAGTCCATCTTCCTCATTCTCCGTCCAAAGCACGCAAGCAGTGACGTATCTCGTTCAGCCAGCCCCTCTCGTCTCAGTCAACTCAGCCGCGCTGTGTGCAGATTTTGGGGGACTATGATATTGCTCTGCTTGCAGCCATGCAAGGTGTTGCGTATAATCGCGAGAGAGCAAACCCGCCATGAGCAGTTGAACAGGCCCTCAATCTGGTGAGATACGACGGCATCGTCGTCTCCGGAACAGCTAACAAACATTCCATGCCCACCCCCAACGCGAACTCCCCGCCGTAAACGAACGAGCAGCCAACCAGGACTATTCAACGGCGAAGCTCCTGTCAATCTAGATTGGGCACAACACCACCTTGGCTGTCAAACTGCGTCCACTGGGCCTGGGTAAGTGGAGGGTGGGCGCCCGCGCGCGCCAAAAAAAAAAAAAGGTGAGCGTCAATCTGATGGAAAATGGTGTTCACAGTGTTAGCCCAGAGAAGACCCTTCCGGACCACCACGCCCACCCGTCCGTGGTGCCATTCAGCACAGCCACAGGCCTCAAATCGCACGTTTTGACTCCCACCTTCCTCCCTGTGCATTGCTTACTTTGGGGGAGCCCCTATTCGCCAGCAGCGATTGATCTGGCTCTCTGGACCTTCTCATTGGCGTATGTCGCCTGTGGCGTGGCTCCTCCAGCCTGCGGAGATGCGATGGGGCGGAGGTGCGGCCAGCCGAACGGCGTGAGGTGCTCACACGCCTGCACAGTGAGCGAGTCACACACGCACGCCCGCCCCAATCTCCCCCATGCCGCACCTCGTCCGTTTTCCAGCTCTTTTGACGCCATTTTCGCATGTTTCGTGGTCCCCCGACCATTGATTTGGGTCGATTTGACAGCTGTGCAGCCACTGTTGTACCAATGTATCTGTAGATCTGGCCGGGGGTGCTCGGAGGGGGGAAAGCAGCAAAAAGAATACCCCTGGTGCTGTTCGTCTGGTTGCCTGGCCTTTTTGTCTTCTCCCCCAAATATAACCAGCACTTCTGCCCCCCTCGTAACTCACCTACCGTCATTCTGTTTCCCATTCGAACCTCCAAGGATTCTAATAATATCACTCTCGTCTCAAAGACAAACAGCCCATTAACACGACTGCTCCCAAAGACGCGTGTTTGCTACTCCACCACCAAGCTCATCCCACCTTGCTTCTGAAGCTCAGCCTCACTCGACTCTCTTATACAAAGCCACGACCGACTGGCCTCTCTAGTTCATCTCTGAGAGCCTGTTCTACAACCACCAAACACAACCCCGACAACTCTACTACAAACCACACCTTCACAATGTCGCCCACCTACACCATGTCTGCACATCTGTGCAAGCAGATCTACGCCTCCTGGCGCGAAACCCGTCCCTCGCCCTCCAACATGCCCTCTCCCGGCGTTCAGGCACCCAACATGACCTCCTACTTCCCTCGAAGCCCTTCTCCGGAGAAGCGCTCCATGGACAGCGACCGCAGCGACGCTGGCGTGCCCATGTCAAGATCTCCATCGAACTCCTCGTGGCGTGGCCCCAAATAAATGAGCTGTGAGGCTCTTCAGCGCCGAGGGGAGCTCCGCCTCGTTACAGGCGAAGATGCCAAGTTTACCCTCATCAACTACACACTTATAAACTACCACAACATACGTCCGTGTCACTGCAACCAGCGTCGTACAACAACGGAATCACCAACACGCATTTACGGCTTTACGCATCGGGTCGGGCACGGCGCATGGTGTTACGATCTTCACCCCGACACACTTCACAACCCCGTCACACTTCACAACCCCGTCACGCGACCAGCCGCCACGCGCCGTTTCAGTCACATCCCGCTCGTGATCAGCAACGACGTTACACAACCGCAAAATCACCCAACGACCCGAGCCGCATTGGAGGAAGGAGTACACAGGGAACGAAGATCACCGGAGTCGCGGCGCAACAAATTCACAGCTCAGATCAAAAAAAATCATCATCGGTTTTCCGGGAAGCAAACGGGAGGAAGCATTTTGGGGATCGAACGGCAGCGAGCGGCCTTAGCACGCCATGAGGGTCGAAGCATGATCATCGCATCAAGTCCACTTTTCCTTCTCACTTACAACCAACCTTACGCAGGGGATGCTGCTGGTTGCCCCTCCCATTGTATCATTGGCGGGGGTGAATCGTTCGAGGGGCATGCAGAGCTACGACATCGTCTGAAGCCTTTGCTGCCCATCGAATCATCCTTTTTGGTTGTTGAACTTACTTTTATTGTATTTTTTTTTTCTTTTCAATTTTCCCCTTTGGCAGATCTAAGCAAGGGCGCTCTACGAATAGGATACCCAACACGATTTTTTCAAGTTCAAAAAGCAAATTACCATTTACCGTTTGCTCTGCCGTGAATGCTGTCCACACGTGAATGGTCCACAAGTGCCAAGTTCCCCCATCAAGTCCACCGACTCTTCTTCTCGACTCGTAGCCAAACATCCAGGAAGCCGTTCATGAGCTCCACCTGTGACGCAAGATCGTCACATATGAGAAGCGCCCTCCCCCCAAATCGAGTACCGGACAGGCACAACAGGTCCCATCACGTCCACCCTTGAAGCAAGGCTTCCCGAGCAGAGCTGCGAAATGCCGCATGCACACAGCCGCAGAGTCCTCCACCTTCCCGGTCGCCATCGCCGTCGCCTTCTCCGTCACCGCCGCCGTCCTCCGATGGATCCCTCATCCACCCCCTTTAGGTCCCCCGCCCCGCCGTCCAAGTCCGGAAGACGGGGGAGGGAGTATCCCAGCTTGCGACGGAGAATGCTATTAAACCCCCTGGCACGGGATCCCGAAAGGGGGGATTTTTCTAGAATATTTTAGGGTTCAGTGTAGCGATGAATGAGGAGCTGGTTGCTCTTAAATGTAACTATGCTCAGATTTTTCTGCTTTTTGCTTAAAGTTACCCCGTCAGAATTCTCAAAAGATGAGAGCAAAAACTTCCGCGCGTACGCAGCACACACCAAGATTGAGATGAAAACCCCAAGTGCATCCCGCCGGCCCCATCTCCTCCGACCCCTCCACATGCACCACCCTCGCCATCACCGTCCACGCCGTCCACACCCAAACTCGTCCGTCTCCGTCCAACCTGCGCACACCATACTCACCAGACTCTGATCTCGCATCTTCGCCCAAGCCAAGCATCCCCATGTCGGCTCACGGCAACCTCGCCATGCACTCCAAACCAGCATCCTCCTTGGGCGTCTCGAGACCAGATCGGTGCATTCCTCGTTGCTTGCTGAAGAGGCCCTAAGAATAGAATTTCGACGCAACTGTACCGCGTGGTCCTGTCCTTTTCGCGCCCCTTTTGCGGGTTGATTGATCTATGAGCCCCCCTAATCACCGAGACCCTCGATTCGAGATGAATTGCCAATAATTCAATGTCAGGATACTTTTGCGACAATGCATGCCAGCTGAGAATGCGCAAATCGGACATAATGACACATGGCTCGACTTGGCTGCCCCCTCAAATGCACCTACTTGTCACAATCACATCTTCCCACCTAAACGAGTGGGAACATGAGCCCATCGAGAGCCTCGCTGCAGCTGTCCTTCCTCTTTCAACCACCTCGCGTCAAACGATTGGGCACACAAGTCACCATCACACCGAGACTCAAGAGCCACTAGGGCCCTTTTCTTTACCAGAAAACTAACATGTTGCTGCATTCATTCCAAGCGAGCGAGCTACATTGCTGATCCCCCACCTCGCCAAGCAAGGCCCTCCCCGCACCACTCTCCGTCTCCCCTGTTTTCTGTACGCTTGAAGCCATCGCCCCCGACTTCACGGGGCCTAACAAACACCTCCCACGTCCTATTCCCTATACAATGGTCCATACTGTCGCTATGCTTCTGTCGTATTTTGTCGATGATGTGCGTGTCTGTTGAAGGCCACCGGCGTTGTGAAGATGAAAGGAAGAAATAAATGCCCATCGCGGGTAACGCGAAGACTAAGAAACCATCAAACCCCCAAACACCGAGTTTTTGTCGTCTAGCTGTTGTTGTATCCGTCTATCCTGCCCAATGGGGCCTATGCAAGTTCGGCACGGTCGAGGAAACGGACGCGTCACATGGCGGACGCAGCATGCGTGTTGATGTCGGTCCCGTTGCCGGGAGTTTCATCGCCGCTGGACGACTCTTCTCCGGTGAGGCTGCCACCGATGCGTCGCTTGGCGTCCTTTTTGTCTGCCTCGGTGATGTCCTTCTCGTCTTTGCGCATGTCTGGCGCCCATTGCGGTGTGCCGGGCGCATGTCCCACAGACATGCCAGCACGAACCTAGAAATGCTGTCAGTCAAAGATTTACAGGTATATACCATCCCGCCAACTAACCAAAGTCTCGAGGGCGGTGTTCGAGTTGTCCACCAGGTCATCGTCGAAGACCATCTTGCCAGGCTCGAACAACAATACGATAGTGCTACCGCCAAACTTGAAGTAACCTAGCTCCTCAGCTCGCTTTACCTGCTCGCCCTCCTTGCGGGTAATGACGGTGCTGCCAACCATCATGGCGCCGACACAGATGACCATGACACGGCCGTGCACAGGACTATCGATTGGGCAAAGGACTCTGACGTTCTCTCCGTACACGTCAAGGGCTGAGCGAATAGCCATCGGGTTGACGGTGTAGTATTCTCCGGCAATGGTCTTCGGCTTGTCCAAGATACCGTCAACAGGAATGTGGAAACGGTGGTAATCTTGCGGCGCCAGTCGGAAAATGCCGAGTGCTCCGTTCTCGAAGCGCTTGACATCCTCAGGGTACGCGTCGCCAAGAAGGCGTTTGATCGAGAACTCGCGACCCTTGATCCAGACGTTGGTGGCCTGGTTCACACTATTGAACACGACGCTACGACAATCGGCGGGAGAAACGGTGACATCGGGACGCTCGGCACCAGAGCATGGACGAGCATCGGGCTTCAGAGCTCGGTAGAAGAACTCGTTAAAGTTCTTGAACTCTTCCAGCGGCAGAAGAACCTCCGACATATCGAGACGGTGAAATTCGATGAACTTGGGAATCTCAGCCTTGGAGGCCGGATCGTCAAACTTCTTGCCTTGCTTGATACTCATGCTCTTGAGCATCTTACGAACTAGGGTGACGTTAGAAGAATATCCGGGTTGGGCAACGGGGCCTGCTTACTCCTCTTGGTTTCCATGTTACTAGACTTGAGTCCTTTGTACAGGAGGCGAATTCCAAGTCTCACGTAAACGCTCATCTTCTCCTCGTTGATCTGGCCCGTGATGCGGTCCTGGACCAAGATGTTTGCCGAGTTGGCTCCAAGCTTGTATCCGCCATAAGATATCTTAGTGATGACCTTGGAGTACCACTTGCGTTGGGCCTGACTGGCGGTGACAAAACCGCCCATTACGAGATTGTTCACCTGTCGCCAATCCTGGCTGGCGCATGTAGCAATGTGTGTGATGATGTCGGTATCCTTGCGCTTGTTCAAGCGCGGTTGGTGGCAGATAGGACATTCTCTGATCTCGACCACATGCTCCTCGCCAGAACGATCCTCGGCCAGATCGTCCTTGTCAAGGAGGTCGCCCTCCTCGCCCGGAGTGCTCAGTTCCGGTACGTTGAGAGTACCATCAGAGGAACTTGAAGCCTCTGTCGAAAGGCCCGGCTGGGCATGTCCTGGACCTGAGAGAAGATTTTTGACCTTGTCGGCATCTGGCACCATGCCTTTCATCTTCTGCGTCACAGTGACGGGCTTGCTCTTGGCTTCTAATTGGTCCTCCAAGCATAGCACGGCCTCGTCCATCGTCAAATCTCCAACCTCCTCGCCTTCTTCCCTATGGGGAAAGCGCTTGAAGAAACCATCGATTGTCGACTCATGCAGCGTGGAACCCAGAGTGTCGAGCATTGTCGTCAACTCGATCTTGCTGATACGACCACTCTCGTCCGTGTCGTACTGCTTGAGCATGGATCGCCAGAACTGCTGACGAAGAGCAGGGTAGGGGACGTACTTCGCGCGGATGTACAGGACTGGGTTATGCTTGTCTTCCCACTTCTTGGCGTCCTTCATCTTCAAGGGAATGCTGAAGTCATGGAAGTCTACTTCTTCAGACTGCTGGGCTTCCGCAGTCTGAGCTCCGGCGCCAGCGAGAGCTTGTTCGGGCGACAAGAATTCGGGATTCAGACCTCCAGGCTGAGCGGCAGGCGTGGGCGTCACAGTTCCAGACTGGCTTCCTCCGGGCGCACCGGAAGTGCTACTAGGGTTCTTGGACAGAGACGGCCGCACTACTTTGCTCAGGCTCTGAGACGAAGATGTGCGCGACATTGCGAGCTTCTTGAAGCGGCGCTGCTGGGGGGCAACGAACTCGGCAGGTTCGGGGACGTCATAGAGGCCAGTCTCCGGGTCAGCCTTCGGAGCCTTGTCGATCAGCTCTCTGACGGCCAAGTTACAGTCGGCGATGAAGTCATTTCCAGAGTACTTGTCATGGTCCATGACAGTGAAGGCAAATGAGTATTGCTGCTCATGGCCTTGGACTTGGAAAATCATCTTTTCGTTGAAGACGGGATTCAGGTTGTGT